ACACCTCTTTGGCTGCAAGGAACTAGTGATTTCTTTGGATCCAATAAGTGATATATTGAAAGCACAACATGTGTTATCTTTTTAATCATAAAAGGATGATATAAATCGTTTTAAAATGTTCTTACCCGGTACTCTGAAACGAAAAGAGGATTTAAATACCAAGTATTGTTTTAATGTGGAAAATGCTTTATACATTACTTCAAGCATAAAATTACGATGAATTAATCCACCTTGTTAGAAATGATCAGGAATGACATCAAATTTGGTCAGTATAAGAATTAACATAGTGACATTACTTATATAACCATACAATTAGACAATCGGTAAAAATAATGAAATTGGTTCAAAGCAACCTTGCCCGGCCAGGTGTCTTCCAGGTTTGTTGAGATTACAATTCCTCAAATTACTGGCTGATACAGCCGTTTTGGGAGTTCCTGTCCAAAGTCATATTGGAGAAAGATGTTTGATCACTGTGTACTTTATTTTTATACATTGAAAGAGATATGCAAGTTTTGTTCCAATCTGTAATTCTTCACTTATATCTGTTCAAGAGTTTGCATAGGTATTTGCCAATATCTTATGTTTTACAATAGATAATGCTTTTGAAGAACATTTATGTAATGTTTATCAAGCTGTGCATTTTCTGAGATTAATTATTCTGTACTTATGCTGGGTTGGATTTGGACACATTTCTCCCAAAACATGGAACCTGGATACCTCAGAGGCTTTACATTAAAGAGAGGGGAACACTCCCTAGCACCACTTCTGATGCTGCTCCAGAGGATCTCCTAACCTTCCTGAGCAGCTTTACAAAGGGAGTTTGGAACAGAAATTGTTGAAAGGTGTTTTCTCATTCCCTTCCATTAACATAGTGGAACTCTGCTGAATGCAAGCCTGAATCCAGCTCGTTGCTTTCCTTATTCCCATCTGAATGGGTGGCCTTTTCCACATTTGTGTCACTATTTTACTTGGATGTTCATTTCTTAATAAAGAGATGTTTAAGCTTTGTTTGGTCTTCATAAAGGAACCATTCTTGTAACCCTGAAGTAATTATGTTGGAAATGAGTTGGACAAAATTAGTTGGATACGAAGTTCCAGAGTTCCAAGGCAGTAGGTTTGCCTGGGATACGCTGTGTAAAAAAAAAGAAATAATTTATTTTAAAATAAAACAAATATTTAGAACTGTAACTGGTTGCTGCTGAATATCTACATGGCATGCTGTAAGAGAACAAACTGAAAGGGAAACACAGTTCTTTACTAATCGAGAATATACTATTGGTAACAGGATGTCAAATCTACTGTTCTTTATTGGGATGGGAACCAATTACAGTTCCAAAAACCTTCATGTGTAAGTCTCCTAAACTTTAAGAAAATAATATTAATTTTGTCTGAGATTGTGTTGCATCGTACAGTGCTAAATTATGAATTCTATATTAAATAGAATCACCCATTGGGGGAGATGGGCGGCATACAAATTTAATAAATAAATAAATAATGCTGAGAAGAAGCAAAGGCGTTAGAATACATTGAACAAAAAAAATGATAAAAGTGATATTCTTATGTCACCGTGTTGTGAGATAAATTGCATTTAATACAAGTTACCTTATGAACAATATCCTAACTAAGTTATCATTTTCCTGGCTGTTTATTTTTCAAGATACTTTCTTTTGGGGCAATTCACCAGAATATAAGGCCTAATTAAATAAACAGGAAAGGCACAAGCTACTACCATAGGAGAAATTCTAGTGCAGTGTTACGCTTCTATTCATTTGTTTAATCAAATGATGACTTTTTAAAACTCATTTATTAAACCTGTTTCAGGGACTAGTTCCTGATTAGTAGGTAGGTAGGTAGATTAAAAAAAAATCTATGGTAATATAGCACAGATAATTTGATATTGCTAGAATTTGAGAAAAAGAGGAATGGTAATGTTGCTTGCATTGGGAAGTATGAACTTTGACTTGCTAAAGTACCATATCCTGGCAGCACGATGATATGGGTAGCATAAACTTGTTGCAAATAAATAAATTGTTATGAAAGGTCATCTGTAAAGCTCTCGATTGAAAATTACTAAACTGAACAACAGCAAAGCAACAATGAATTGGCAGTAACTTTTCCATACATCATACATTTAGTAAAATGGCACCGGTAATGCCCTGCTTATGATCACTAGCAACTGCTCATGTTACTCTCAAGTTACTCTTTTCACAAAAATCTAAAGTACTTGGGATTCGTTATTACGAAGAAACAAGAAAGACAAAGGGCCTATATGGATTTTGTTGATGAACAAGGTTATTCCCATTATATGGCTCGTTCAGTTTGGTCAGACAGCAGCCAGAACAGGGGTTTCCATGTGCTCAATTCTCTAGTAACTCAGCATTGCGGGAAAAGGTTCATAATGGTGGAGAATGGTAGCAGCATCTCCCAGGACAGCTTTCTGAGAATGCAGTAAGCTTTCAAGGAACTAGTTTCCACTCCATGTTTAAAACAGTTGAATGAATTGAACTCAGAAATTGAAATGGATTTACATATCAAAATAAACAATGGGAAGCTGGGCAAAATGCAGTGTTATGGTGTCATGAATGTGACACTCTCCTGGCTGTAACATTGATTTAGGGGGCAGCCAAAGGTTTAATGCAGGACACATGCATACATATAACATTTTTTCACTCTGATATTGGCTGTGCCTGGCTCTGGGGAGTATGCATCGCGTCAGACTTTTCGCTAGAGCAGTGATGGCAAACCTTTTCAGCTCGGCGTGTCAAAAATTTGGAAAATGCCTGACTTGACTTTGCTAGCACGTCACACACACAACCCTGAACAGAAGAGAACCCTAAACAGAAACATACTCATACTCTTTACATACTCGTTTATTAAAAAAAAAATACAGTCCAATCAAGTGTGGTGGTATGTATTATATAAAGAAACATCAAATAATTGCAAAAATGAAATACGAGTAAAACTCAGTTTCTCTGGTAACTCAGAATAGTTGTTGGGGGTTGGTGAACGCTGGTGTGTCACCCAAAACGTCATGGCATGTCACATTTGACAGGAGTGTCACAGGTTTGCCATCACTGCGCTAGAGTATGGGACCAAGAGTATTTTGATTTCCTTGACTTAAGACCTGTGCTGGGAATTGGAGGAAGAAGGTGGGGAATGAGTGTTACGGTTCTCCAGGACCTCTCAGCAGCTTTTGGTATCATTCATCACGGCGTCTTCCTGCAGTATCTGGCAGACCTGTTAGGTTCTGCTTTTCTGTTATTCTGGTCTTTCCACTAGGATGACATCCAGAAGATGTTGTTGGAATGCTATTTTTAACATCTAGACCAGTATCTCTCACCCTTGGCAACTTCAAGGTGTGTGGACTTCAGCTCTCAGAATTCCTCAGCCAGCATGGGGGATTCTGGGAGTTGAAGTCCACCCATCTTAAAGTTGCCAAGGTTGAGAAGCCCTGGTCTAGACCACTGGCCTAGATTCCATCTTGCTCCCAATGCTGTTCAATATCTGTATGAAACAATTGGATGAGAACTTTGCAATGAGATGCCACAGACATACTAATAACACTCAGCTTTAATCCTCCTTGCCACACTAATCCCAAGAAAGCAGTTGCTTCCTTTGATCATTCTATAGATTCAGTAATGAGATGGACGAAGGTGAATTAAATTCGGATCTGGGTGTGCTTCTGGTCCGTAAAAATACCCTGGGCTCTGGAAGTGTGTGTGGTTCAGCCTGTTCTAGGCTGAGTTGCACTCCTAGTGAAAGAGCTCGTCTGCAAGTGCTCCTTGACCCGCAGTTGATTCTGGATCTCCGAGTGCAACAGTGTGCATTTGCATAACTGCACCTGGCAACAGTTCCCCGTGCGCTGGTTACATCACAGATTATTATGATATGCATTATGTGGGACTCGCATGGGGGGTGTTTTGGAAGTTTCCATCTGCAGACTGCTAAACAGTACCAGGAATATATTACGCCCATGTTGAAAGTCAGTTCTGAAGCACAGTTCAATATTGGTTTTAAATGTTAAAATGCTAAATAGCTTACAGCTAGGGGTGTTCACGGGGAAAGGTAAAGAAAAAAAAATCACATTAAAAAGGGTCAGGGCTTCAACTGTATGGTTGTGGCTGCTCTCTTGACTTTTTTGACACCCCCCCCCCGGACACCCCTGCTTGGGGTCCACCCGAGTGATCATCTAGCTTAGGGTGAATCCAGGCAAGCATTAAAGTTGGCACTCTCTCAAATACTTTTTTTTCAAACGAGGCCTTTTCTAATGGAGATTAAATACTATGAAGGATCTCCTCATCCATTTGAGGGGTGGGGAGACAAGATCTAACTTGACCTGGTCTTCAAGCATAACGGGGACTTCAGAATTAGTCCCTGGGCTCCCCCCCACCACCACCATCACCATTCAAGAACAACAGAAGTTACGGCTGGCGGCTTTTATCCATATTCTGCTGCTTGCTTTGCTTTGACTTTTTATTTTTATTTTTTCATGCCCCGGGGGGGTGGGGGGAGGGG